GCGTGACAAATCGCGCGATATCGCGCAAAATGCGAATCGCGCGACAAACGCACGATTTTCACGCAGTGTGAATGGCCTTAGTAATATATGTATATGGCTCCCAGACCTGATTGGCATGCGGGAGCTCCCGAATGCAATTTGGAAATTCGGATCCCTAATCCCATTCGGGTCTGGGAGCCATACATATATTAGTAAAGCTACTAATGCAATTCGGAAATTCGGATTTTGAATGCCATTCGGGTCTAGGAGCCTAAGCTTTAGTATTATATTTATATACTGAACACAAATTTTCGTGACGGCATGTTACTTTTCTGGGATTCGGAAATCCGGATGTGTCCGAATTTCGGAGAATTCGTCTGAATTTTGATGCGGAACGAAACGATGAACACATGTCTACTCCTTCCTCCCTTCTTCAAGCCAGTAGATGGACAGATCTTAAAGTGTTCTGTCCCTTGTGATCTTGTACTAGACAGGATGTTCAGGGAAGCAGAGCTAAGAGAGTTGGAGCTGTTCAAAAACATGATGTTTGTAAGTGCTTGGGGGAAAAATGTAAAGAATTACTTTGCTGGGTGATGTGTATTTCTTTCATTTGGATTCATTGTTGAATACAAGTTTTAGTGTTTAATACTACTTCAATATTTTTTTTTTACTTTGGCCCAGACCTTTGCTTTCAGTTCTTTGCTATATTTACTGAATTACTGAATTGCCTGCTGATCTAAAAGTTACGATGTCTCTGGAAGCGTAGGAGGGAAGCGTGCAAGCTTTGTCTTGGGGATCTGAACTTGTCTGGGCACAGAAATAGGTGGTTCCTCAGGTCTAAACAAAAACGGGGAAAGACACCCAGACGGCCTCGCGGGATTGTGTAAGCGATGAGAGGATCCTGAAGACTGCTCCATTGTCTTCCCTTCTCATCATAATTCATGATAGAGTATACAAAATAAATAATAAATATTAAGGAGCAGAAGAGCTCATCCAGCATGAACAGATACTGATTAGTTCTTCTGAATTAGGAAGAATAATATTACATGTGTGTTTCCAGGTCTTATTCTTATAAACATAGAGCTGGGCGGATGCCATTCACACGGCACTAGTGCTCCTAGATGAGTGGTGGGCAACTCCGGCCCTCCAGGTGTGCTTTAACAAATCCCAGCATGCCTCTACTTCTGGGAGTCATGCCTGCAACTGTCAGTCTTGCAATGCCTCATACAGACATCCCAACCTGAAAAAATTCATTTCAGGGAGGTGCAGCTCCTGCTGTCAGGATTTAAAAAAAAAGAACCAAACAACAGACTGCATGGGAACGAATAGCTAGGCTGTAACTGGCTATTTCAATTTGCAATAGCCAATAGAAGGCTGGCTATTGCACCCGCCAACTGCTGCTGTCAATCAACAGAGGAGGACCTGAATAAGAACTTCAGGCCCACGTCTGCTGATTGACAGCAGCAGTGGGTGGGTACAATAGCCAGCATGCTATTGAAATAGCCAATACCAGCCTAGCTATTTATTCCCATGCTGTCTGTGTTTTCTTTATACTTACTCTGGTGACAGTCGGCGGCACCACTGTCCAAACCCCACCCCCTCCCTTCCCCCCCAAAAAAAAGATAGCAGGAAAAGGTTTATTCTGCTAGATAGAGCAGGGTAAACCTTTCTGGATAAAATGTTTCTCTTCCGGGCGTATGGGAGCCGCTATCTAATAGCAAGAGACTCATGCAACGTCCGGGACAGTTGAGATGTCTGCTCATAGAACTTGTAGTTCCACAACAGCTGTAGGGCTGGAGTTGCCCACCGCTGCCCTTTGGTGCTGATGATTCCTATACTTGTCAGTGCCATCTAGGGAAGCTAGTGCCATGTGAATGGCATGCGCCTGCAGTCTATTATAAATGAACCCTTATGTGTCCAGGCGCATCTCCATCAGATAGGCTGTCATTCATTTTGCAGCATTTTCCAGTGCAGGCTAAATGTATTTAATCGTCTGTTCCTGCCAATGTGTTCTGTTGCAGTGCTTTGTTAAAAAAAAAAAGCCCTGCTTCCTGCATTTTGAGAGTATTGACCTGTAGTTTGCTTCAGTGTGGCGGAGCTGAGGGTGGCAGTGCGTGGAGTGTGGCGGAGCTGAGGGTGGCTGTGTATAGAGTGTGGTGGAGCTGAGGGTGGCAGTGTATGGAGTGTGGTGGAGCTGGGGGGGGCAGTGGATAGCGGTTGTATGGAGTGTGGTGGAGCTGGGGGTGGCAGTGTATAGAGTGTGGCGGAGCTGAGGGTGGCAGTGCGTGGAGTGTGGCGGAGCTGAGGGTGGCAGTGCCTGGAGTGTGGTGGAGCTGAGGGTGGCTGTGTGTGGAGTGTGGCGGAGCTGGGGGTGGCAGTGTATAGAGTGTAGCGGAGCTGAGGGTGGCAGTGCGTGGAGTGTGGCGGAGCTGAGGGTGGCAGTGCCTGGAGTGTGGTGGAGCTGAGGGTGGCTGTGTGTGGAGTGTGGCGGAGCTGGGGGTGGCAGTGTATAGAGTGTGGCGGAGCTGAAGGTGGCAGTGTATGGAGTGTGGCGGACCTGAGGGTGGCAGTGGGCGCAAGTGGGGTGCCTCACGTTTGAGATCGCCTAAGGCCTCACAAAGCCTAGAGCCGCCTCTGTTTCCACGTGTGCCTATTTTGAATTGGGATATTTAATGACAGGATCACTTTAAAAGTGCAAGCTTCAGTGACGTCTATGTCATCTTTTATTCACTACTAAGCCAGTTACTGACTTGAGTCAGTAGGGAAGTTCCAACGCCACGGGCTACATACTAATTCTGGGTCAGGACTTACTCGGCAATGAAGCAAGAATGAAGATGAAAGCCAAGGAGTTAAACCATTTAAAAAATAAAAACAATGACGGCCCCTATCTTTAGTTTCCCTTCAAAATTTAAAATACCTGCAATGCTCTCCTGGATGCCGGAGTGTGAGGTTACTATATAGTACAAGTGTGTGATTTGGTGAATTCATGGTCAGGAGTGTGTGGCAGTAACAAGAAGGTTAAATAGGTCCAGGTGGCAGGTAAAGCGTTATTCAAGAACAATAAGGACTAAGGTTTCCCATACACAAAGGTAAGCGGCGGCACATTTCAAACCGTCGCAATTCAGCCATGACAGTTTGTAGACCAAGAAAGTCAACAGTCAACAGTGATGGTCTCATTTCATACAACCTGCTGTGTTGACAGTTAGCCAGAATATACAGTATGTAATGTCTTGTAATGTTCTACCCTTTGTACAGCTCCAAACCGGGAAACTCTTAGAGCTTGTGCCTGTATACAACCATCCTTGGCCCATCTCAGGGTTTTCAGGGTGGGTGACGTTGTTTCTGGTCCTCAATGTTCAGAAATAAATGGCGCCAAACAAAAAGGTGAGAAAGTCTTAACGTGTCCCTAATTGTTCATAGATTGATGAAGCAAAAAAACAGCCAACACATTTTGGGGTCAACTGCACTCCATCTTCATCAAAGCTCAGGGTGGGATTAGGTTTTAATTGGGGGGGGTTCAATCTTAAAAAATGCATTCAAGTACCTTAACTATTAACATCCTCAAATGTAGATCCTCAAATCATCTCTGAATTGGTGCTGACACTGTCCTTCCTTCTGGAGGGGGCTACTTTTGTTCCCCTTGGTCCCTGTGTGTGTTGTAAAGTAGTCACCGCCTCAAGTTCGCTCCTGTGATGGACTACAATCTCACATTTAGTTTACTCATTTGTATTGAGATTGTAGGGAGCTTGGAGTGTGGCTACTTTTGTTCCCCATGGCCCCTGTGTGTGTTGTAAAGTAGCCACCTCTCCAATCTCACATTTAGTTTACTCATTTGTATTGAGATTGTAGTCCATGACGGGAGTGAGCTTGGATCAGTGACTATTTTACAACACACACAGGGGCCATGGGGAACAAAAGTATCCCCCCTCCAGAAGGAAGGACAGTGTCAGCACCAATTCAGAGATGATTTGAGGATCATCAGCCGAGTGATACACAAATAAGATACATTGTTGTTAATAGTTAAGGTACTTGAATGTATTTTTTAGGATTTTACTTCTGAGTTTAGTGTCACTTTAAGATACTATAACCAAACAGATCTATATAAGATTTGATAAAAGGGATCTAGTTCAGGAATTGACATCCATTTGGTTATAGTATCTTGAGTCCAATCAAAACAGTATCCCATCCTAAGTAGTGATGAGCTGAACACCCCCGTGTGTTTGGTTCGAATTTGAACTTTCGAACATGGGAAAAGTTTGAATTTGAACTCGAACTCAATGCAAGTCTATGGGGGTAGAACTTCAAAAAAAGGTAGAAAATCAAACGTCCCCATTTTAATAAAAAGGGGCACCCAGATGCCGCCTCGCCCCCCTTGTGAATGAGTAAGGAGTACTTGTACCCCTACCCATTCACTAAATTGTTGAATTAAAAAAAAGGATTTTTGGCAAGTCCTTTATTAAAAAAAAAACCCCAAACAATGTATCTATCTGTCTATTTATCATCTATCGATCTATGATCTATTTATCATCTATCGATCTATGATCTATTTATCATCGATCTATTTATTATCTTTCTATCTATTTATTATCTATTGATCTATCTATTATCTATCATTGATCTATTTATTATCTAGCTATTATCTTTCTATCATGTCTATCAATCGTCTATCTATTCATCAATCATCTATTATCTATCTATAATAGACGTCTATCATCCAGCCATCTATCTCTCATTTTCTTCTATATAGATAATTATCCATTCATCTATTTTCGCCTTATTGTATGTATTTCATTCCTCCGCTCTCATAGCAATCCCTCTCTCTCTATATTATATGGGTTTTCCTTGTTCTTGGTTTCCAGTTGAAAATAAATAGACACAAACAATTGACTCTGATTTCCCTGCAGCCTGGCACGGTGCGGGTTAAGCAGACCGGGGGGGGGCGTGGCCACTGACGCTACGCTGTCAATCACACGGCTGGGGCCAGAGAAGGGGCGGTGACGTACGCGGTGGGCTGAGTGAAGGGGCGGGGCCTGCAGCCCGGCTAGCGAGCGGGGATCCCGGTGCCAGTTGTCCGGCTGTCCGATGAGGGCTCCTCCCCCCGGCTTGTCACTGCCAGCCTGTCCGGCGGGGCCGTCCTGGGCAGAGATGGTGGCCAAAGACTTTAAGCGGTGAGTGATGGGGAGGCGCGGGATGAGGAGGGGGAGATCGGGACGGGGAGGGAGGAAGATGGGGATCAGGATGAGGAGGGGGGGCAGCGTGCTGCCTGTGCTAGCTGCTCCCCACCCTGGCAGCACAGGAGGCAGCTCATTCATTCTCAGGCTGCCCACACTGGCACATTGGCTGATGCCCCTATTGGGAGATGTGGCTCATTGACAGCCTGGCGCCTGCCAGCATTGCCGGAGGCGTTGCTGCTCCTTTAATAGCCCATGAGACCGGCAGATGGTGGGCAGACATTGCACTGTGAATGAGGGGCATGTCCCCCAAAATGAGTCGTGTGCCATTGCTGGTGTCCGCCGTAATCGTCATCAAATTTCGCTCGTTCGCTTGCTCTCTTTATTGAAAAGAGAACGATCGTCCGCTGGTCGCAATGACCGTTCTTGCTGATGGGGGGGGGAAGCAAATCTCTGCGCAACAGTTGTCGCTCTCCACGGTCGCAATTGGTCGCTGTCGCAGGTGACGCTTGAAACGGTCGCCTTACCTACCTTAAAGCTCAATTCCGGGCAAAAGTTGACATCTATGCCGGCGATCCAGTGCCCTACACCATACACGACATTACTCCCTGTCCCGGAGACCGGACACGTTTGCATGCTTGTTATCTTAATAGTGACCGGTCACCTCTCCGCCCCCTCACGTGTAGTTCTGCAGGTATATGCGTCAGCATGAGGAGCGTTGTGGGCATGATTATTGCAATGGCGCTAGGTTCAGCCTGAATGATGATGATGTGCGGCAGAGCTAGAAACTGCCCACGTCTCCGCCTATGTACAGGAATCATGGGGTAGTTCTGGAAACATTGAGGACGTGACGCGGCGCCGCTGCGCGGACCCTTCTCCAGGCATAGCTGAGAAATCGGTGGCATGATGATGTCATAGAAAACAATATATATAA